TAATGGTAAACATCCATATGATCCAAACATTTTTATAAGCTTGTGAAATTTTTTGGTCAAATTATTGAAGGCGTTTCTTGTGGAAAACGCCTTCAATAAGCTCATATAATTTTTTATGACATAAAATTTTTAATAAAAATTATTCAAGGCGTTTTTATCCAAAAATGCCACTGATATCTAGTCTTGAATAGCGTTTATAAGTACCAACGTCACTATTTGAAAATTTAGTGACATTTTAATAATAAACGCCTGAAGTTTTATAAAAACACGGAAGCTAGCGGCGTTTGTAAGTGAACGGTCGCTACAAAACTTCCGTTAATACGCCATTTTCCTGTAGTGTATATTTTCATTGTGTTGTGTTCTCATTCTATTTTGAAATTTATTATTAGTGTCATAAAAGTGTAGCTAAAATAACATAGATTAATCAACTCAAAATTGAAACAATTCAAAACTCAAAATTGAGTATAAATAAATTTTTTACTCATTTTAAATTTTAATTTAATTAAAAATAATATAATTCATATAATTATAGAAATGAACTAACTTGACTTGTTTTCAATTGATTTTAAAAAGTTAACAACTTAGTAGTTATTTAAAACCTGAAATGATTGGACATAATTAAAATTTAAATTGAAATAGTAATCCAATCAAAATCCAATATTAGTTATTCATCTTTCATAAAATTTAAAATTCTTATTTAAACTTTTTTCCTTAATCTTCAATATTTTATTTTTATTGTCTTTGTAGTTAAATTAGTTAATAAATTTTAAGAGTTTTATAAAGTGAAATTGCAATTATAAGTAATTAAGTATATATTTTTTTATTTGAATTTTGGATGATTTGAATCCAACTTTTTAAACAAAAAGAAGCATGTACCAATTATTAAATCAAGTTTGCTCAAGTACATAAGTGAATAATTGAGTACACTATGAATAGAATTAAATGATAAAACTTGACTCAATCTAATTGGTCGCTAACTTTAAGTTTAAAATCTAAATCAAAATTATAAAAAGTTAAAATCCAAAATGATTGAACTACTAAATACACAATTAAATAAAAATTTTATCAAATGAATTATACTAATGAATACTTTTAAATCACTTTTAAGTTTAGTTAAATTATAATTTATAATCATTTTTATTTTAGATGTAAAATGATAATTAATTTAATGAATTTCAATTCTTTTGAACAAATATTACTTAATATGGCAACATTAAAATTTTTGATACAACAATGAATATTCTTCAATTGATATAAAAGAGAAAATGAATTAGTATATACTCTTTTTCCAAATAAAATAGTTTTATATTAATCCTAAAGAAATTTGAAATCAATATATTTGTGTAATTTTCATTGAAAAATTATACAGCACTAACTTTTTTTGTTATATGGAGAAGATAAAGTTATGTATAACCTATCAATCTTTCATCTCATTTTTCTGCTTAGAATAATTTTTCATTAATGATTCTATCAATTGAATATAATTGTACGTCTTATCAACTGAAAGCTTAATTTTTCTTTTATTTGAAAATTTTTATTATACGTAAATTTTTATTAAATAAAAATATTAAAATATATAATTTTAAAAATTAAAATAAAATAAAATACTTGTCATGTTTTCTTAAAAAAATTTCAATTCTAAGAGTAACAAACTTGTTACCTAATATCAAGACTATTTATAATAATTTCATTTTCAAAATTAACAATATAATTTTCATGAATAAATGTAATTTTGACATAAACACATTTAAAAGATAGATCTGATGAATTTGTCATATCTTGAAAGAATTCACTAAAAATAATTAATTTTACATCACTTAATAATTTTTTACTTATAATAATTCATGTTAAGTTGTTCAACCACTTAGATGACAAAAAAATAATGAGTAATTTAATACAATTGAGAAATATTAAATAATCTTAAGATATAAATTAATCATATACATGCAAATTAAGATAAAAGTTTAGAGAAAATTAAATTAATTATTGTTTCAATCAAGATGAACAATTGTTATGGTAATTTGACAAAACCCAATCCTAAGCTACTAGTAACTCCACCATTCCAGAATGATCTAATTCTATAAGTGAAAAACCTAATTAAAGTGTTCAATGAATCATATAGTACTAATTGTTGGTGAATGGGATATAATTAATTTGCATTTGATTTGATATTAGTTTTTGTTCATGGGAATAACAATTATAAAATTCTAGTGAAAAAAATACAAAAGATAAATTAGTTATAGATATTAGACTAAACTGAAAAATAATATATTAAAAAATTATTTCAAAAGACTAAAAAGATTTAATTATGTTATTAGTGATCAAATAATTAACTCATAAAATATATAAATAATAAAATCATTAACATACATATATAGTTGATAAATTAAAACAAAAAAATTCAAAGGCAAAAAATAAAAAATAAATAAATATACTTTAATAACTTAATTATGATTATCTTTAATGAATTTACTTATCAATATAAACTGCATATTCAATTGTTTTTATAACAATTAATAAATAAACTTCATATAATTGTTTTATTCCTATGTACACTAAGTTTTTATCTCTTTTTATTTTTATTTTTATTTTTATTTTCATTTGATGTGAAAAAGCATTCTACTTATAAAACAATGTCTAATAATAAAAAAAAATTATTTATATTAAAATTTATAAAAAATCACTAATGGTATTTTAATCGATAACTTGCATTTTTTAAATTAAAATTTAATTAAAGGCATTTTTGTCAATTAATTTTAACACTTTTTAGTCTAATTATAAAAAAAGTTTAATAATAAAAACAAAATCATTTAAATTAAAATTTGTAAAAATTTATTAATGGCATTTAATCAATCACTTTTAATATTTTTAGAATTAAAATTTTATTAAGTGTTTAGTTAATCACTTTTAGCACTTTTTTAGTCTAATTATAAAAAATAGTATAATATAAAAAAATTCATTTAAATTAAAATTTATAAAAAATTTTACTAAAGATATTTTAGAAAATCACTTTAACATTTTTAAAATTAAAATTTTAAAATTATTAATAGTTTAATTTCTCATAAATTTTATTTTAATTCTAATTATTTTTAAAACAACTAAATAAACAAATTTCATATAATTGTTTTATTCCTATGTATACTAAGCTTTGATCTCGGTCTATTTTTATGTGAAAAAACATTTTACTTATAAAAAAAGTCTAATAATAAAAAAATTCATTTAAATTAAAATTTATATATAAAAAAAAGTAATAGTATTTTAATCGATCACTTGTAATATTTTTAAAATTAAAATTTCATTAAGGGTATTTTAGTCAATTAACTTTAACATTTTTTTAGTTTAATTATAAAAAAAAGTTTAATAATAAAAATTTTATTTAAATTAAAATTTATAAAAAATTTATTAAAGATATTTTAGCCAATCACTTTTAACACTTTTAAAATTAAAATTTTAGAATTTTAAATAGTTTAATTTCACATAAATTCTATTTTTAATTTTAATTTATTTAAATTAAAGTTAAATAAATTGATAAAAATTATATATTTAAAGATAAATTTGTTAATTTAAAAATTAATAGGGGTATTTAAGTTGATCGTTATTAACAATTTTGGAGTTTACATTTTTATATATAATAATATATATGTATATAGTTAATAGCATGTGTGGTTCCTAAACTTTAGGCAAGATTCCGTATTAGTTTCTAAATTTTTAAAAGTTTTAATTGAGTTCTTAATCGTTCAAATATGTGTCAATATAGTCTTTACGTTTGTTGAATCATCTAAATTAACGATAAATCCTACATGTCATAACATATATTCTTTTAAACTTTTATTACATGAAATTTTTTAACCCTTATCTTCTTCTTCTTGTCCAATACTATTAACCCTAGATCCAGCATAATTAATTTTTTCAATTTCCCCTGGATCCAAAATTTTATTACGTAAAATTTTGGTAGCCTTGATCCAACCAATCTGCAATGTCCACTAAAAAAATTAAACTGGATTAAGAAAAAAGAAAAACTTTAGCAATTTTGGGGGTTTAACTGAAACTGGTAATTTTGCACATTTATTATTACAAAAAATGAATACCAAATAAATAAAATATATATATAAGCAAGTTGACTCAAAATTCAAAACCATCTATGAATAGGTTATCAAAGCTTCTTAAATCATATGAAAATCAAATTTATATCCATTTATCCAAATCAAATCATAAAAGAACCATTTCACTAAACAGAATTCAGAGCCAAATCATTCAAATGGAAAAATAAATACTTTCTTTTTTCTCACAATGACTACATCTTCCATGAGCATCCATAAGAACAATTTCACCTTTATCACAAAGGTCAAGGCCGTACGAGTCGCTTCACAAGACTAGAAGGCCTTTACAATCATAAACAGTGAAACTATTGTTGGCGAAGAAAAGAGAAATTTTGAAAATAGTGAGATGCTTCTCTTTTTCATAAATATAATCACCATTCACAACCAAAAATGCTTTCATTATGTTCCCTTGCAGTACTATTAACCTCTCTTTTTCTTGTCTAAACTTTCCCTTCCTAGAATCCAAGCCTTCAATTTGAGGCAAAGAAAACCAAAAAAAATAAAGAATAAAGTCTTTCTCTCTTTCACAATAAAATTTACTATTTTTGTTTTTTTTTTATTTATTTAGTTAAAATTTATCTTTAGTCTTTTGCCTTTTCTGTTTTACAATATATCTAAAAACCATAAAAAAGTTCACGTAATATATTGACATGCGAAATTTACTATCAATTTAAATGATTTAACAAATGAAAAAAACTACATTGACACATATTTGAATTATTGAAAATTCAATTAAAACTTTTTCAAATTTAAAAATTAATAAAAAATCTAATCCAAAATTTAAAAATCACGCATACTCTCTCTCTCTCTCTCTCTCTCTCTCTCTCTCTCTCTCTCTATATATATATATATATATATATATATATATATATATATGCACACACAAGACTTAATTCGCAGGATATGGCTTTCATTTTTAAAAAATTAGCGCAAAAGCAAAGAAACAAAACATAAAATACCAAAGGATTTGAGAATGTCTCTTCCAAAACCCATCTAAATTTAGTAAGACAAAACACTGATTCTGATGTCCCTCACAGAGCTACAGGGTGAACTGGTACCAGGAAAAAATAGAAACGAAAAGGAATTATTACATCTTCAGCAGGGCCCAAAAATGTGGAGGAGTTGAAAAAAGAGAGAGATGAGAACAGAATTTGCGGGGTGGAACACAATGAGAGCTGCTGTGATTTCCTCAACCTATCGTAAACTTGTAGCATATGTGCGAGAATAAGTGCTAGACTATTCGGGAGTTTGGTCGTGTAAAGTTTGTGGAGTTTTCCTAAAAACATGTTTCCTGCAACGCTCGAATATGCTGTCATATATCAGATCAAATTGTACGCCTGCTCTTTCTCTGTTCACAATGAACAATATGTGATCTCCCTTTATAATCTTGTAATACCTGCAATTATCAATGCAATTGTAAATCAGCTCCGAGAAGCTGTAGGAGAGCTAGTACTTTCAGTGCGCATGCAAAGCCATTATCTGTCCATAGGTTTGTTATCATCATAACATTTTTGCAATTTTCTAAATGCCAATCGTAGAATTTCTATATTAATCATATGGTTTTCTTCCAAATGATTCTTTAAGACTAGAATTCGTGATCCTAACCTTTTATAGATTTACATGTTGGTTTACATTTTTCTTTGTTCTTTTTCTGTAACACTAGCAACAAAGAATGAAACATTCTGAATACAAGACACTGGTAACAAAAAGGCAATAACAAAATAGCAAATAACAAGTTAGTTCCAAAATTATTTACATTTGTAATTAGCAATGAAGAACAAACAACTTTCTGACAGATTTAATCATCATTGTAAAAATGCAAGTAGACTATTTTTCCATAATATCAATTATTAGTTCATCAGGATGAACCCTTTCTCATCAGGAGGGAACCATTCATCCAATCAAAGAAAGTTGTTAAAGAGAACCATCTTGTAATTGAACTCTAAAATCAAACTCAACATTACCATTTTATTAGTAACTCCAGTAAGTTAATGATAGTGAAATGAGTAATACTAACCATATGCCTGGCTGCAAGGGTTGGCACTCAGAATCATTCACAACAAAGCGGCTTGGGTGTTCAATTGGGAGACGAGGGTGAGTCATGGATATCGTGTTAAGAGCTCCATCATTGTCCCGCCAATCCTCATCCCTGCAAATATTTTTTTTATGAGGCATGAGTAGGATGTGACTTGATTCAAATTAAAGGTTCCCAAAACTTCCAAACTCAAACTACTTTTCAAAAAATTATCTGAAAGACCATAATTTCAAATAGATATGAACTAATTTCTAAAAATTTGAAATATATATATACATATGCAATCCATGGAGGAAAGCTAATACTTTGAAAGTTTAGAGATTTTGCATGGTATTCTTGGTGATATCATGACAATTTTTTAAGCAAGTGGACATTTGGTCTAAATACCTATGTCTAATCAAATAAGAATTTATTAAGGAAGCTCTTCAAAGATATTAAGATGTTGTAAAACTTAAAACATTGAGTAATCAAATTAAAGCAACCAGAGAATTTATATATGAAGAAGTTGATGTATGTGTTGTTTAGAGCACACCTGTAGCCTTTATAAGGGGGAGAAACATCTGGAGGATGACGCCACTGGGTCATCTGTAGTACTCGTATAAAAAGCAAAGGGTGTATACCCAGAATGCTAGAAGGAACTGTGACACCCAGGATCTTCCTTGTACGCTTGGTAGCATAGCTGAAATAGAACGTGTTGGAAAAGGTTTGTAGAGGACAGTTCAGTCTTATTGACCCTTGAATTGTCAGATCAGGAAGGATCCAATCTCCTGTAGCGAATGGCCCCGCATTCCCCAAGAGGTAGTCAAAAAGACCCCAAAGACCTACTTTTTTCCATGACATGTTAAAGTGATCAAAACCAAAATTATAGTAGGCCTTTAGCCAGGGGATATCCAACCAATCATAAATTATAACTCCTAAGCGGCACAGCTGCAGCAGACATATAGGTTTCATCGTTCTCCCATCCTCTGGCCTGAAATCAATTGAAGTCACAGCAAACAAGAATCAGAAACTCTTGACATGGCAGAGTTGAAGCAAAATCCAAGGAAAAAGGTATGAATATCAATGGTAAAGCATCATGGAAATGAAATACAGTTTTGAATGCAAGTTGAGTTTTAACCTCGAAGCTGCTATTATTCTAAACTCTATGGCATAATTCAATCACAAATGACTCACAATACCAGGGATATCAAAATTTACTAAATATGCATGGCAGGATTCCACTTCAATTAAAGCTTTCAAGCCAAAGAAGATTAGTTTAAAGGGAACGTACTGCATGCCATCTAAATAAGTTCTTGTAGTCCCATTGAAAGCCCCGGATACGGATGTTACGCTTAATACCCAGCTCTCAGAAGTATTCTCATATCCGTTGAATGCCTGGGTAAAAAGAAAATCATATAATCAGGACTCAGAATGAGAAAAAAGTCATAAGAGAAGACTCTGCATATGAATGGGAAATGGACTAACCTTATCAGCAAGCATCTGCTGCAAGACACGCACAACCTGAGCACCAGCTGAATGGCCAACAAAATGAATAGGGTGATCTTCATCCCATTCTGGGTATTGCCCTGCATACCAATATCATGTAAACAAATTAAAATAGAGAAACAGCAACAATAGATTAATAGTCAATAAAAACTGGGAAATTTCTGCTTGCCTTGTTCATAAATTCGTCCAAACTGCGAGTGGCCACAAGTCTTGCTGTGTTCTTCACCATAATCAACTTTCCCTCCTTTCAAATAATAGAACAATTCACGCGCCCTTAAACCAACCAAAACCCTCTCAAAAATCTCATATAAAGATACAAAATCAAACCTAAATGGCAAGCATTTATGCTATAAGCGGCCTACCTATCGTATGTGCTGGTAAGAGATCCCAAATCTGGCACAAGAACCCTCTCATCTTTCTTCTCTGCCCCTGCAAAGTATGATAATCCTCCCAATTTCTGCCAACAACAGGTCAAAATTCCAGATTAAAACTAAAAACCCATATTAATGAATTAAAAGAGAGAGAGAGAGAGAGGAGAACATAAACATACTCCCTTGCCAAACCCAAAAATGCCATGAACCAATACAATAGGAGGCAGACCATCAAAATTGATCCCATTGGGATCTTCTCTTTTCACCTCTAAACTTGCATTAGGCTTAAAAAACCATTCATTCAAAGCCTGAGAAAGGTCCCCAGCCACAGCCGTGCTATATATGTAAAACCCATACAGCAAATGCATCACTGAGCTAACAAACAGCTCCGCTAATTGCAAAGCAGATATCGACCATCTTAACATCTTCTCGAAACCCAAATTACAAAAATGAAAAGATTCTAACACAGAGCCTCCTCTTCCTTCTGCTTATTCAAAAAACAAAGGCTCTCCTCTGCATAAGATATATGATAATAAAAAAAATAAAAAATAAAAAGTTACAACCCTTCTATGATATTTGCTACCATAGAAGGCGGCAGAAGAAACCGGTTACCAACTTTTCTTGTATATTTGGTTTTGCTTTCTTTTGCCGGGTTTCAAACTTTCAAAATGGTTTACCACAAATGCCTCGTTCAAACATACATAAGCCGTGACTAATAAGAAGCCTTACTGTTCATTGTTTGTCAGGGAGTGGACCAGAAAGGAATATTTTAGCTTGGGTTTATACCATGTGTCCTTTAATAAACCGTAAATACCCTCACCCCCTCCCTATCAAAATTGAGAGCATATTACCAACCACAATTGTCTATTACAATTCAAAATTTTTAATATGATTCATTAAATTTTTAAATAAAATTCATATTTATAAATAATAAATTTTTATATTTTTTTATTATAATTAAATAATTATAAAATTTATAATGAAAATTATAAATAAAATAATTAAAAATTTATATGTGAAATGCACATCAACATTATACTCTTTTTCAAGTTGAAGGTAAAACCCCACTAAATTATGGAAATCTATTCTTTTCAAAGAAAATCCAAAAATCTCTGCCTCTGTTTTTATGGATAAAATTAATTAAAAAGTCTCTTTATTTGTGATAGGATTGTGTCACTGTTTGGAACATCATTCGGCTTAAACAATTGGAATTTGGAGGTTGAAGGTTTGGTAAAAACTAAAGAAAACAAATTAAATTTTAAGAAATGAATTGGAAGTTTGTTTTTTAGGTAAACAAATATTATTGTAATCGATTCTTTCCAGAATGGGTGTGCTGCAGCAGAGCTGGAAGGTTTCTTGTAAAGCCAAAACTCCTAACCGGACTGCCTTATCCCTTAAATCATGTGCTTTCTTGGTGTATTTAATTGTCAACGCTGTCAGCCAGACGCCTTTTAATGAGTGGGTCAACCGCACGCTCATTTTCCAGTGTAAAATAACTGTGGATTGAATTTCAATTTTGCATTATTTGGCCGTTCATCTTTGCATTGTTCACTTTTAGGAGTATAATTAAGTTTTTTACGCAATATCTATCATTGATTCTTTGAGATATTGACATAGAAATGTCATACTTATTCATATTTAATAAAAATTTTTATTTTTTATCTAAATAAAGATAAAAGTAAGTATTATATTATGAATATGAAAATAAAGATGAATATAATTTTAAATTTTTATTGGGTATGAAATTGAAAATAGATAATATAACATCAATTTGTATCTATATTTTGTATATATTTAATAAAAAGATTTTTTATTAAATAATATAAATTATTATTTTAAATTAATTAAAATTAATATATTTTTATTAAAAAATATATTTATATATATTTATAAAAAAATTACCTAAATATACAAAATAAAAAGCTAAAAATATTTTTTTATTTAAAAAAAACTATGGATATACAGATTATCAATACACATTAAATACCCACGAATATGGAGATGAGAGTAAATTTAAAATACGTATTAAGTATAGATACAGGGATGAATATAGCATAAAAATTCAAGAAAAATGATAGAATTGAGATAAGAATAAGAAATGCTTTACTCTCTTCATACCTTACCCATTGACATCCCTACTTTGAGATGTTTAATGGTATGTTATAAATGTTTTATTCATTCAACTTATTTTACCATTTCAAAGATGCAACAATCATACATATGAATGTTTTAATTGAAAAAGTAATGCATTTATTTAATTATTTTTATAAAAAAATTCAATTACAACATTTATTTTCCTTAAAATTATGTCATACAATTGTGTACAAATCAGCATTTTTGTCTATAAATATGATCTTTCGTAAAATTTATGTGAATTTTCTATGAACTTTAGTAGTTCTATGATTGTGGTGTGATGAAAACAATCTTATATAAATATATAAAAGTCAGTCTTTGATTAAAAAATAAATACTCAAATGTAGATAACTTACATTTTTAACATATAAATGGATTTAAAAATCACCATGTATTTTTCAATAAATGTATTTTATTTGTTTAAAACATTTTTATTATTTTTATAGTAATATTTTTATTACTTAAAAAATAATTAGTTAGACTAAATTAATTACATTTTAAATATCCTATATTTTTTATATGAATAAGTTACAATTAATTTGGTCAATAATACAGATAAAAAAACTAAATAAAATTCTAATTACTCATGAATATATTTCAATATTTTCTTATTACTTATGAAAAATTAAATGAAATTTAATGTAGTAAATAAGGAAATAAAAATGGGCCATTAAATGAGTTGACAATAATGATACAATTAAATTTGGGAAGATTTTGTATTTTTTTTAAATGATAGCAGATTAGGCAAGAATTAAAAATTTATAATTTTGAAGGAAAAATTACATTAAATTCATATTTTTATTACTTTTACACTATACAGTTAATAATAGTAACTTTTTAATACATTTACGATAATGCTTCTTGATAGTAATATAAATACAAATGTTCTTTCAAAAAAAATATTATGCAAATCGAATTTAACTATTCCCCATGCATAACACAAATATAAAACTTTAAATGTTTAAATTAGTAATATTTGACAATTAATTTGTTGAATTGAAAATAATAGCAATTTTCTTAACCTTAAAATTTTGAAATTACATAATATTTTTAAATATTTGACAGAAATCAAAACTTTACTTTCCAACATTATAAAAAAAATGGGTATGTTAAATATAGTCCTATACTTATTATGTCAATATAAACAAGGATGAATCTAGAATTTATGGTTAGTGGGGGTAAATATTTTAAATTAATTTAAAATTTTTTTATTAAAATACAAATTAATATAAAAAATTATAAATAAAACCAAGATGTATAACATATTTTTTGTATATGAAAAAAAAATTTGCCATAAAAATAATTTTTGTATAGTTAAAATTAATTATATGATTCTTAACTAAAATAGTTGAAATACTATTTAGATAAATCAACTTTCAATAAAGAAATACATATATTAATTTAGTAAATTTTTGGCTATAAAATTCTTAAAAATAGATGTAGTATGTGAAAGAATAATATAAAAATTAATATATCTAGTTTTATTATTCATTTTTAATATGTCTAGTTTTATCATTTACTTCAAATAAGCAAATGTATTTTATTTCTTATTCATTATAATTTGAAGAATAAAAATGTCTCTTTTCTTAGATACAATGAAAAAAAAAATGAAGATATAAATTTGATTGATTTTTTTTTTTACCACTTCACATTTTATACGTTACTTTTTTTTTTGTGTGTGTTAAATAAGTGATTAAAGCCATTTAAATAGTATAAGCTCTTGGTTTTATTACCCTTATAAAATCACCTCACATCAATCTAAATAAAATTGTTAAGAGAAATTTGAAATTTAATAATTTCAAACTCTCTAAAAATATTTTATTTTTTTTGACAAACTTATATATATGTATAAATATATTATAATGAAATTATTTAGCAATCAAAGGATCAATGTTCAATTACTAGATAAACAACAAAATATTTTCTTGCAGGAGCCTTAATTTAATGGGGGTAAATTTTATAAAAATATTTTTAGTGGGGGCAAAATTTTAAATTTTCAAAATTTTTTAGATTTTTTTTAATAAACCGAAATAAATTTTAAAAACCTAAAAGACTTTTTTCAAAATTAACTTATTTTTTTTAAATTTAAGAACTCACGAATCCATAAAAGCAATGGCAGTTAATGTTCACCTATATTTGGCTGTACAATTTATTCTAAGTAGGTATTAATATTATCTGTTTCCACAACAAAAAGTGAATTTAATAGACAAATAGAACTTCACAACATTATGAAAATATGTTTTACTTTTTTGAAAAATTATCATTAAACTATATATTTTTTTTTAATACCGAAGAAAAAATTTTGTTAGTTAGAAGGAGAAATACGAGGACAACAGTAACGAGTTGACTTAAAAGAAAATGAAGCTAAACAAAAACAATGTGTACGATTCTTTAGCTGAAGGAATGAAAGAACTTTTAAATTAATATGTTATTTTAATGAATCTCTCCTTCCAAAGTAAGAAATAAGTTATATTAACAATACATAAGGGATCTACTTAAATTAATGTAATTCTTATATTTTTTAAATCTTTTGATCAAAATTAAATTTATAATTTATTTGAATTAAAATAATATTTTTGAAATTAGTAATTTTGGGTTCTTGGATTTCGTTCAATATATATATTTTTTAATCAATTCAAGTTAAAGATATCAATTTTATTCATATTTAATAAAAATTTTAATTTTTTATCCGAATGAATATGAAGATATGTGTTATATTGTGAGAATAACGATGAGATTGGATATAATTTTAAATTTTTTTGAGTACAAAGAGGGATAAAAGTAACATGACGCTTACTTTGTACTTGTATTCATATCTTTTATATATATATTTATATATATTTAGTAAATAGATTTTTTATTAAATATTATAAATTATTATTTTAAATTAATTAGAATTAATAAATTTTTATTGAAAAATATATATATTAATGTATATATTTATAAAAATTACTTAAATACACAAGATAAAAATAAAAAAAAATTATAAAATAAATTTTGATTTTTACTTTTTTAAAAAGGTTATAGGTATGGGATTGTTCATATTCATTGAATACCTACGATGATGGGAATATAAATAAATTTAAAATATTCATTGAATATAAAGTACAATAATGTATATAATATAAAACTTTAAGGATGAAAAATGCTTTACCTTTCTTATGCCTTATCTATTAACATCCCTAATTCAAACATGTTTATCTATTGCCGGATTTTCTAAATTCATAAAAATTATCTTTACATGGACTTTCAAAAGATTCAAACCAAAGAAAAAAAAAAAAAAAAAAAACTCTCTTCACCATTTTAGCTAATCATATATTGGTAATGGATCTCCACTCTGTGTATAAGAAAGGATTAGGTCAATTAGGTGTACAATAAATTATTTTTTTTATATTTTTATAATTTTATGTACTTTAATATTTTTACAAATTGTTAGATTTATCATATATCATACAAGTAATGTTTCAAATGATACGATATCAACATTATTTCAATCAAGAATAATATTTTTAATATATATATATATATTAGTGATTGAATTTTGTTATTATCAAACAAATAATTAATTATTTTCCTATTAACTTAAAGTTTAGAAGACATAATTTACGTGAATATAA